TACTAAGGGAAGATACTAGAAGAAACGAGTTTTCTTCCCAAAATCGACTTTCACCTCCAAAAATTAAAGGTTATTCTCATATTCATAATTAGAAAGCAATTTTCAATACATTGTGCTTTAGGATGACAATATATACCAGTCAAAGTGGTTCATTGTCATGCCGTAATTTTACTAACCTTTAGAAAAATCACGTTTTGAAATGCTCTAAGTATAAAATAATTTGAGAAAAATACTTAGAGAAGAGTCGCCACTTAATTTTTTAAAGAAATTAAGAAAACTTAATTTAAAAAGGCCTTAACAGATAAACCTTTAAAAATTTAGAGAAAATGGGTAAGAGGTTCTTATTTACGCTTCAAGAAGGTTTTTAAGGCATTTGAAGCACCCGCTAACACGTGGTTATCCTACGACTTAGATTAAATATATTTTGACTATTTTTTAGAAAAATGATCAACTTGAGAAAATAGTTAAACAAAGAATAATTTTTAATTTTTAAGAAAAAAAAGATATTGTAACATTCGACAATTTGAAGTGGCTTTGAAGAAGCTTGAAATTGGAAAGTAGTCATTTTTTTTGGAAAAAAATTTAAAATCTGGAAATTTGGCTTAGTGTGGAAATCAGTGAGTTTTTGGCCAACTTTGAGTAGTCATAACTCCTAGATCAGGATGAGTTAGGAGTAGTTCCAGTTATGGTTGCGAAGCTCGTGGAACGATCTTTCCAACGCCACCGAGTTTTCTCGATTCCGAGTTCGTATGAGGGAGTTATGCCCTTTAGAAGTTGGGAAGTTGGAAGGGAAATCCGTCCGGAAAATTAAGGGCATTTTGGTCTTTTCACAAATCATTTCTTTTGAGCTCATAATGTTGTATTAGGCTGATCTTTGGACCATTTTGCCCCATTTTGAAAGAAAAAGAGTTAGGGTTCTTGAGATTGAAGAAGGAGAAGAAGAAGAAGAGAAGAAAGAGGAGATCAACAAGATCATTGTGGATTTTCGTCGGGGGTGATCCCTATCAAGGTATGTGAGTTTTTGTGTGGGTTGATCCTTTCCCTCACACACACTAAGTTTATTCTATGATTTGAGAAAAGATTGGAATTGTTGTTGAAGTGTTGAAGTTGTTAGTTGTTGTTGATGTTGTTGGTGGTGTTGTTGAAGTTATTGTTCGTTGTGAGACATGATTAGGTTGTGTATTTAAGTTGAAATCTATTGTATGATTGAGGGAATTATGATCCCAAGAGTTGTGACCCCTTTGAAGTTGAATCACCATCAATTCCCAGAAAGTTTTGGCTGTCGATCCCGATCTACGGACGTGACCTACGTACCGTAGATCGATTGACGGTCCGTGCTGGTCAACCGTCAATCGGGACAGAAGATGGGTTCTGGAGCATCGATCTACGGGCACGACCTACGGTCCGTAACTTGACCTACGGACCGTAAGTCAGGACCGTAGGTCAACACTTGGTCATTTTATTTAAATGAATTCTGGGGAAGTTTCTGACGAGAGCTACGGACCTGCAGGACGGACCGTAAGTCCATCCACGGTCCGTCGATGGCGTCCGTAGATGCCATCTGTAGCACCAGAAATCTGCAGTCTCAGCCAAGTTTCCCCCATTCTTTTCTCACTTTCTCATGCATGTTCTTAAGTATTATATCTATGTTGTATCGTTGTTTCCGACACTCCAAAGTACGTCTAAGCGTTCAAGAATCCCTCCATAACATGTGATTGAACACCTTGAATTCATAATTCCGATTCAAGGGAAGATAGTTCCAAGTCAAGTGAAGTTAGAAGTCAAGTAAAAGAGTATAGAGTTTCAAGTCGAGTAAGAGTCTCAGTTTCAAGTAAAGTCATGAGGTTAAAGTTGAGTTCCTTTTTTTTTTTAGGGGCTATTAGGGGACTAAGTATTCCCTAAGAGTTTATAAATGTTTTTACACATTTGAGCAAAGAAAGGGAACATTGATTCCAAAAGAGCCTTTGGGCTAAGCTTTGAGTAATTATCTCAAACTAAAGAAAGAAGTTGTTTTAAAAGCATGAGCCAAAGTATTTTTGGGAGTAGTATTGAGCACCGAATTGGGGACACGAGTTCTGATTTACTAAACTCTCCATAAGAACCATGCGCCAACATGGGATTTCTCGGATCATACTTTTTAGATGATCACGAAATTTAAGCTAGTGGATCCACTAAGTAAAAGTTAGCTTCCTATATCACGGCAAGGTATAGGATGGTCCTTGGCAACGCGAGGTAAAGTGTTGTATCATCACTAGGGCTCATAGTGGTGGTTGTCGGTTAAAGAACCTCCCACATAAGTTATTTTACTTTTATATAAGTACAGTTGAGTTGTTATTGTTTTATCATTAACAAGCTAAGTTGTTTATACTGTTTTACAAGCTATATATATATATATTGCATGCGTCTTATTGCTACATATATTGAATTCAGTTAGTCATGAGTCGTACAGAGCCGAGGTAAGTGTTCTCTTGTATTTCCTTTCAAGCTTAAGTTGTGTTTTGGCTTTCCCGCTTGCATACTCGTACATTCCATGTACTGATGCCAGTTGGCCTACATCGTTTGATGATGCAGATTCAGGTACCCCGGATCAGCAGCTTGCTCGTCGCTGATCCAGCTGAGCACTCCAGAGTCAGTGGTGAGCCTCCTTGCATTCCGGAGGACTCAATTATTTTTGTGTTCTTAGTTTTTGTCTTATTAGGATGTTGCGGGGTCTGTCCCAACATCCATCTCTGTATTTTAGAGGCTTCATAGACAGACAGTCAGTCAGTTAGTTTTGAGTCTCTCACCTATATATATATGTAAATATTCTATTTTGAGATTCGAGTTGTCTTTGTGGCCATATTTTATAAGTTAAGTTGTTTTGTAATATTGCATTGCATAGAGTTATTCTGTTGAGTTAGGTTTCCGCTGAGTCAAGAAAGCCAGGCCAAGGGTTCGCTTGGGGCCAGAAATGGTCTCCGGGTGCCGGTCCCGCCCAGGGTGTAGGCTCGGGGCGTGACAGATATTAATTGAAATATTGAATTAAATTGCAAGTGATTAGAATTTTAACAAAACTAGATTAATTAGCATTTGTTTGAATTATTTTTAAAATAATTTACACCAATTCAGTTGATAAACCAAGAAATCATTTTAAACTAGTGAAAAGTAATTAAGTGAAAGTTTTAAATAGAAAACATTTGAATAAGTAAATAAGGGTGCAAGAGTTGATAAAATAAAATTTATTAAAGTAAACCAACACAAAGAAAATAGTTCATCCTTTGGGGAATTCAATTAAGTTATTTAAAGTTAGAGTTAATAAAAAAAAAACTAACAATAAGTAATCACAATTAAATAATCTAGGAGAATAAAGGAGAGATGAATTTGGGCCCTTTTTTGGGCCAAATTCGTTGCTGATTTGGGCTCTTAGATCAATTCCCCTTTTTGTATACATCTGATGTATATCAGTGTATATTGGATGTATATAACCCATTTTTCTGCAATCCGAGACCTGTTTCAGCTTTCACTTTCTTTGGACATTGATGGGGCTGACTCGAGAGGAATTCAATTCAACGAAATGCTGGGATGGAGTCCGAAATAGACTCGAACGAATGTCACATGTATCAAAATAAGGGAAAAGGAATTAATGGAGGGTTTTGAACAATTCACATATGCAATTAAGTCTTCAACTAGAAATCATCATGATATAGCTAATTCAAGATATCTACAGTTTACTACAAGCGTAAAAAATATAAAAAAATAATAAGCATATGAAGTATCACTAATGCCCACCACGTGATGTACTACATACTACTTCCAATGATTTCATGTTGACAAATTAGCAAACAACCACATACTTAGCCATATGTAGAATAGACAGAAGGAAATTACTCATGCTATAATTGTAAGCCACACAAAACCAGAAAAGTTCATGTGATTATATAGAAAGAAAAAAAAAAACAGAGAGCGGGAAATATTGCCAAAAATGCAAAGCTAAAGTTTTGTTAGATGTGAATTATTTGCAATCACAGAGAACAATGCTTATAATGAAATGTAAATAGAAGCATAAATTGAAGACATGAAATTGTCAAAGTATATATATTAAAAAATTTATATGATTGAAGTCGTTCTAACAAATTGCATAAAATTTTACCATCAAAACAATTAACATTGGTAAACTGAAAAAAAGCATGCAAAATCGAAACGTGTTTTCTTCCCAATTTTTTTTTAATATATCAGTAGTAAAAAAAATATTAAGGGAAGATACTAGAAGAAACGTGTTTTCTTCCCAAAATCGACTTTCACCTCCAAAAATTAAAGGTTATTCTCATATTCATAATTAGAAAGCAATTTTCAATACATTGTGCTTTAGGATGACAATATATACCAGTCAAATTAGTTCATCATTCATCAGTTCACACTTGTATGTTCCTCTTTTAAATTTCGTACAACTCATCAAATACATATTTCAATACTATTATTATCATTTTAAAATATTTATACTAATTAGCATGTTGCACGTGTTCCAGAACTAGTTCTCTAAACATTTAGAATTTTCCCAACATTTTGCCCTGCCCTAACCTGCCCCGCCTTGACCTTGCTGTGTGAAATCTGCCTTTGGTCTTAGGCTCAACAATAAGATAAGATAACTGCAAAAGATTGGAAAGTGAATCTTTTGCTTTAATGATTGCTTTGCTTTTTGCACAAAAGGGGATATTACTATTTCCTTTTCACTTCTCTTTTTATAATGGAAGACTCTTCAAAGTAGTTGTGAGGTGATAGAAGTGGTCCTCAATAGTTGCTAAAATATTAAAAACATACATCCTCAAAAAATTCTCATCGAAAGAACTAAAGTACTTGTGCTGAATTAACCTTAACACAACTAACATATGTAATCAAGCAACATACAAGAGGCTATAGTACAATTATACTACACCTAATAGCAACTAATGACAAGTTGGAGCCTAATCTTTTTAAGTGTCGAAAGAGCATCTTTCATGCTAATTCTTGCATCAGGTTTCACTAAAGTTCATCTCAAAGCTAATTCTATGATAGATAACAAACATTGCATCTTTAAGTCGATCTGTTCTTCCCCCGGCATTACCAAATTTGAATCCACCACCTTATGAATTCCACTTGGGAAGGAATCACTAACCCAACATTGTATGCTCATTTCTCCATTAAATATTTCATCACTTGGTCTCATTCTTGTAAACGTCTCCATTATCAGGATGCCAAAACTATAAACATCACAACTTGTGGATACTATTCCATCTTGTCCATACTCTGCAATCATGATTGAAAATTATCATAAAAGTTTCCTTGAGAGTATAGAGTATTGACCTATATCTAGGGGCAGGAATTATTTTGAGTATTTAAACGATATGAAAAACTCTAAAACATTCTAATATACCTAGAGCAATGTATCCAATGGTTGCAATTGTCCTTGTTTGAACAAAAGAAGCCTCCCCTGCACCTAACAATTTTGCAATGCCAAAATCACTGACATGGCCAACCATATCTTGATCTAGCAAGACATTGCTTGGCTTCAAGTCACAATGAACCACAGGTGTTGAATAGCCATTGTGGAGATACTCCATTGCTGATGCAACATCAATCATTATATCTAATCTCTGCAATAACTTCAAGAACAAGTTGTGGGAGTATAACCATTTATTGAGTGTCCCATTGGGCATGTATTCCAGCACTAAGGCTTTGAAATCAAGGTTGGAACAGCTGGTGATGACTTTGGTCAGATTTCTGTGGCGAAGGTTCCGGAGTATCTCACATTCCGCGTCAAAACTTTTGAATGCACCCTCCAATTGTACATTGAATACCTTTGCTGCCAAAAGAGTACCATCCTTAAGTATCCCTTTGTAGACCGCGCTGAAACCCCCACTACCAAGCAAGTTGCTTTCATTGAATCCTTCAGTTGCCTGTTCAAGTTCATAATAGGAAATTCTTTCATGCTCTTTAACCAAAGACACATCTACTTGACTTGCATTTTTCTTTGTCTTTCTCAATCTTAACACCGCATATCCAACAGTCAACGCAAGGAGTGATCCAATCCCTAATAAAATATATAAACTTGTGAGCACCATTTTTCTTCTCAACTTCTCTGTAAATTTGGTTAGGCATGGTTTCACGATAAACCGAGAGTCACCACATAGTGCATCATTGGATAGGAAGGACTGGCTGGTGATGTTTGCAAAAGGGCCACCAGTGGGAATTTGTCCATTGAGTTTATTGAATGAGAAATTCATGTTTTTGAGATACACAAGAGCTTCTAATGACTTTGGAATTTCACCACTGAGATAGTTATAGCACAAATCCAAGAATTCTAATGCTAACATTTTGCCAAATGAATCTGGAATAGGCCCCTCTAATCTATTATGTGCCAAAGAAAGATTAATCAATTTATCTAGACCCCCTAGAGTGCTAGGAATCTTACCAGAAAAATCATTTTTTGATAGATCAATGAGTGTTGCAGCCTTTAAGTTTCCAATCTCAAAGGGAATTTCTCCACTCAATAAATTTGATGAAATATTGAATTCTATGAGATCACGAAGGCTCCCCAAGCTTGCAGGTAATCTAGAATTCAGCCTATTAACAGCTAGATAAAGTGTCCTCAAACTAGCAACATTCCCTAAGCATGGTGGCACTGAACCAGAAAACCGATTTCTTGACAAGTCTAACGCACCAAGATTCTTCAAACTGCACATAACATCTGTTATGGTTCCTTCTAACTTGTTGCTTTGTAGGTAAAGTTCTTGAAGGCTCAACATTCCTTGGACAGTATTTGGAATATGTCCGGTCAACTCATTGTTATACAGATCAATCCTTGTCACTTCAGTAAGATTACCAATTTCTCGAGGTATGACTCCCTTCACTTTACAATCACTTCCTCTAAAAGTGTGCAGTGAGTTTGAGAAATTACCAACTGATGAAGGCAAAACACCATCCAATGGATTTCCATCAAACCAGAGTACTCTTAGATTCCTACAGTTTGTCAATGATGTGAGGAAGCTCAATTTTGAATCGCTTACAAAATTATTTCCCGAAAAGCTCAGAACCTCAAGGTACTCTAAGTTACCAAGTGATCCCGGAATCGGACCTGTGAAACTATTGCCTGAGAGATCAAGTATTCTGAGTCTAGAAGCATTTGAGATTGAATCAGAGATAAAACCACTAAGATTACTTACTCCAAAAAAGAGTTGTTCTAGGCTCGGCATTCGACGACCTAAATCTGAAGGTAGAGTACCTGAAAGCTTATTTTCTGTAAGTGTTAGACTCTGCAGTGCTGACATGTTAAAAATGGTTGGAGGGACTGAACCACTAAACTGATTCTCTGATAATCCCAACACTTGTAGTTTCTCAAGATTACCGAGCTCCACTGGTATCTCTCCTGTCATTAATTTAGGGAAATGTATGAGTTGCCAGTTTTGCGGAAGAGAGAAAAGGAAGAACATTTTCATTTTTCTTATTAGAGAACATAATACTACCTTCCAAATGCAGAGCGATAATATATAGTTCCATAAGAGCTGTTAGGTTGGCTAGCTCACTTGGTACAATTCCAATAAACTCATTGTAAGACAATGACAAGATTTGAAGCTTTCTGCAATTTTCTAAGTTCGGTGGAATAACGCCACCTATATAGTTTTTTGAGAGGTAAAGCCCTTCCAAATTTGGAAGATGGTCACATATAGTTGTTGGAACCTTTCCTGTGAGATTGTTAAAGGAAAGACCAAGGTTTTTCATTGTCGTAATGTTGAAGATTGATGTTGGTATAGAGCCACTAAGTTGATTATATTGCAGATCTAAAAAAGTCAGGTAGCGAAGATCACCAAATTCTCGAGGGATCTCTCCTTCTAGAAAATTATTTTGCATACTCAACACTTCCAGCTTTGTTATATTGGAAATGGAAGAAGGAATTTCTCCCGAAAATTGATTCATCGAAAGATACACAAAGCGTAGGTTCGGTAACAAACTTAAAGATGATAGAATGGCTCCAGTGAAGTTATTTCTCGTGACACTAATCGATTTCAACCTTTGTAAATGGACCAACTCTTTTGGAAAATCTCCATGGAAAGTGTTGTTATGAATGTTGAGGGAAACAAGAAATGAGAGGTTTCCGAGATGTGGAGGTATGGTACCATGAAGTTGCATGCTAGAAATGTCTAAAGCAGTGACTCGGTGGTGGCGGGAGCTGCAAGTAATTCCAATCCAGCTGCAAACCAGGCTGGAAGAAGACCAGTTTCTTGCTAGGATGTTGTTAGGATCAAAAGAAATGTGAGATTTCAGTGCAAGAAGAGCGGCTTCATCGGTGGAAATATTAGCAAGTGAAGAAGTATGGTGATGAAGCATAATGAAAACTGCAAGAGCTAACAGATGATTGCAAATTCTTCCCATAACTATGACAAGAATTGATAATACAAAGCAATGATATCAAATTTATTGTATACCAATATACTGTTTTTATATTGGACTAATGGTGTCACATCAACTTGTTGGATACAACAACTTAGTTAAACTTTTTATAAGTTTTGTTGGGTCCCAAGCTGTTTTTTTTTGCTACACCTTAGAATTTATCTTATTAAGACGCGTTGCGACTTCACCAACAATTAAAATGATCTTTTTCTCCACTTAACTAACGAACAAAGTTGTTTAACTAGTGATTATGTGTATAAATCCTCAAATGGAACCGTTTTTCATAGGCAGATGAAACTTTTCAAAGTCCAAAATAATCGGGATTGAAAATAGATATCCGACATGGAGTGGGTAACAAACAAAAATCCTTGCAAAAATGTGGTAGAAATATAAATTAAACATGATTGAAATAGGAAGTTAGGTAGAGATAGGTTTTAACACCACATCTTATTCACAGAATTAAAGCAAATAATTTAAACTAAAATCCTATAAAGAAGAAGATTATGTAGATTCTTGCTAGTGTATACATACATGCAATTCTGATATAGCGAAATAAGGACTTCTGTTAACTCTGCAATTGTTAAGTTGCTCACCAAGTTGATCTGGTGAATGATAATCTTGTTTGCATACCAAATATGCCTCACAACTTCAGAGTTCCTCTTCAAGTGGAGGTAAACCTTTCTGCCAGCTCATTTTTCTGAATATACAAAAGATCATTGTGGTGAAAGTGACCCAATTGTTTGTGCCAAGTGGACTGACTTGGTAAAGCTACATGTTCTTCCCCCATCGGATTCAAGGAAAAACTTTTTTACTGTATTTTAATTCCATGACCACTTGGATCAATGATCAGACACGCCTTATCTTCAAAAAAGAAAAGATAATGTGCACGCGCTGTCGCACAGATGACGTCTTGGGCGCACACCTGATGCGCATCAAGGCAGTAGCACTTCCGTCAGTGTGCTATCACTCAGCTGATAGCTTGGGCGCGCAGCCAGCGTGCAACAAGGCAATGTCCAGTAAAATAGTCATAATTTCTTGCAAAAATATCCGCTTGACTGATGAATTATTGTGTTGGAAACTATACTGAAACAACTTTAATTTTGTAGGTTATGGGCTACGTAACTCTTCCTATTATATACTTGTTTGAAGTGGACACTTGTGAGAACCTATATGAAAACTTCATCATAGAGATGCTTTCAACTCAACTTTGTGCTAAATTTTCCTTATGACCTTAATTCACATTCAATACAATTCCCACACTTAAGACTTGACCTTTACACCTAGGTACAATCAAATTCACTGAGTCTGAGTTTAATTAGATACGTAGAACGGTTCAAATTTTAACCCGAAAGTATGAGGTGTTACAGGATCTGATACCAATTTGTTAATGTTTAACAAATTTAAAAAATGGCAAAGAAGAAAAGGAGAGATATATTATTAAGTTGAAAGAAGAGTTTATTGAATAAAAAGAAATCTTAACAGATCTGCAGTAAATAATTCAGATAACTAACTAAAACGAAACTCATGAGGCAGATTTCAAGACATGCATACTACAACAAAAATTGCTACAATACCTCAATCCCAAACAAATTGACGTTAGATATAAGAATTCATATCACTTCATTTAAGCTCATCTTAGTCCAATCTTACATAAAATAAAATTAAAAATAGAAATCCTTGCAAATTCTCTATTTTACCAAAAGACTGTCCGAAAACATTGGACCTAAAAGTAACCTACTATTGTGACTAAAATATAATTCCTTGTATCTGCTATATTTATATCGAGATCAAGAGAGATCTTTTTCTTCCATTTTGCCCCTATCTTTTGCTATAATTTACATGAATTGGTATGTAAAAGCTAACTAGTTTCTGTATAAAGAAGATGTTAATTTTTTTTTTATAACAGACAAAAAAATTAGTAAACTGTCTAAATTGAAAAGAGCAAAAATGAGACTGAGGATTGAAAATTGTGAGTGAACAGAATGACTCATCTTTACTTATCTGTGATGGAAAAGAAAATGCAAGTCTTCCTAAGTTTTTTAGTCAATAAATCTATTAATTAGTTGTTGTGTGGGGGCAACTAACCATTATAAAGTCTCTTTATTCTTTGATTATCTAGCTTGACCTTGCTGTGTGAAATCTGCCTTTGGTCTTAGGCTCAACAATAAGATAACTGCAAATTATTGGAAAGTGAATCTTTTGCTTTCAAGATTGCTTTGCTTTTTTGCATAAAAGGGGAAATTATTGTTCCTTTTCACTTTCCTTTTTATAATGGAAGACTCCTGAAAGCAGTTTTAGTTTATTCCAACTTTTATTTCTTCCTTTAACTTCTTGTTCAAACAAAAATAAGTTTTTCAATCATGTCTTCTGAGGTGATAGAAGTGGTCCTCAATAGTTGCTAATGTTCTCATTGAAAAACCTGAAGTGCTTGTATTGAATTAACCTTAACACAACCAACATATGTAATCAAGCAACATACAAGAGGCTATACTACAACTATATTCCACCTAGTAGCAACTAATGACAAGTTGGAGCCTAATCTTTTTAAGTGTCGAAAGAGCATCTTTCATGCTAATTCTTGCATCAGGTTTCACTAAAGTGCATCTCAAAGCTAATTCCATGATAGATACCAAACATTGCATCTTTAAGTCGATCTGTTCTTCCCCTAGCGTTACCAAATTTGAATCCACCACCTTATGAATTCCACTTGGAAAGGAATCACTAACCCAACATTGTATGCTCATTTCTCCTGTAAATATTTCATCACTTGGTCTTCTTCTTGTGAACGTCTCCATCATTAGTATGCCAAAACTATAAACATCACAACTCGTGGATACTATTCCATCTTGTCCATACTCTGCACATGATCGAAAATTATCATAAAATTCCTTGAGAGTATTAATATACATCTAGGGGAAAGAATTATTTTGAGTATTTAAACGATATGAGAGAACTCTAAAGCATTTTGATTATATACCTGGAGCGATATATCCAATGGTTGCAATTGTCCTTGTTTGAACAAAAGAAGCCTCTCCTGCACCTAGCAATTTTGCAATGCCAAAATCACTGACATGGCCAACCATATCTTGATCTAGCAAAACATTGCTTGGCTTCAAGTCACAATGCACCACAGGTGTTGAATAGCCATTGTGGAGATACTCCATTGCTGATGCAACATCGATCATTATATCTAATCTCTGCAATAAATTCAAGAACAAGTTGTGGGAGTATAACCATTTATTGAGTGTCCCATTGGGCATGTATTCCAGTACTAGGGCTTTGAAATCAAGGTTGGAGCAGCTGGTGATGACTTTGGTTAGATTTCTGTGGCGACGATTCCGGAGTATCTCACATTCCGTGTCAAAAGCAAGTTGCTTTCATTGAATCCTTCAGTTGCCTGTTCAAGTTCATAACAGGAAATTCTTTCATGCTCTTTTACCAAAGACACATCTACTTGACTTGCATTTTTCTTTGTGTTTCTAAATCTTAACACCGCATATCCAACAGTCAATGCGAGGAGTGATCCAATCCCTAATAGAATACATAAACTTGTGAGCACCATTTTTCTTCTCGACTTCTCTGTAGATTTGGTTAGGCATGGTTTCACGATTAACCGAGAGTCACCACATAATGCATCATTGAATAGGAAGGACTGGCTGGTGATGTTTGCAAAAGGGCCACCAGTGGGAATTTCTCCACTGAGTTTATTGAATGGGAAATTCATGTATTTGAGATACACAAGAGCTTCTAATGACTTTGGAATTTGACCACTAAGATAGTTATAGCACAAATCCAAGAATTCTAATGCTAACATTTTGCCAAATGAATCTGGAATAGGCCCCTCTAATCTATTATGTGCCAAAGAAAGATTAATCAATTTATCTAGACCCCCTAGAGTGCTAGGAATCTTACCAGAAAAATCATTTTTTGATAGATCAATGAGTATTGCAGCCTTTAAGTTTCCAATCTCAAAGGGAATTTCTCCACTCAATAAATTTGATGAAATATTGAATTCTATGAGATCACGAAGGTCCCCCAAGCTTGCAGGTAATCTAGAATTCAGCCTATTAACAGCTAGATAAAGTGTCCTCAAACTAGCAACATTCCCTAAGCATGGTGGCACTGAACCAGAAAACCGATTTCTTGACAAGTCTAATGCACCAAGATTCTTCAAACTGCACATAACATCTGGTATGGTTCCTTCTATCTTGTTGCTTTTTAGGTAAAGTTCTTGAAGGCTCAACATTCCTTGGACAGTATTTGGAATATGTCCGGTCAACCCGTTGTATTGCAGATCTATCCTTGTCACTCCTGTTAGATTACCAATTTCTCGAGGAATGATGCCCTTCAATTTACAACCATTTCCTCCAAAAGTTTGCAGTGAGTTTGAGAAATTACCAACTGATGCAGGCAAGACACCATCCAATGGATTTCCATCAAACCAGAGTGATCTTAGCTTCCTACACTGTGTCAATGATGTGAGGAAGCTCAATGTTGAATCGCCGACAAAATTACTCCCTCACAAGCTCAGAACCTCAAGGTACTCTAAGTTACCAAGTGATCCCGGAATCGAACCTGTGAAACTATTGCCTGAGAGCTCAAGTATTCTGAGTCTTGAAGAATTTGAGATAGCAGGAGAGATAAAACCACTAAGCTTATTTCCTCCACAAACGAGTTCTTCTAGGTTGGGCATTGCACAACCTAAATCTGAAGGTAGAGTACCTGAAAGCTTGTTTTGTGCAATATCTAGGACCTGCAGTGATGACATGTTGAAAATGTTTGCAGGGACAGAACCACTAAACCGATTCTCTGATAATCCTAGTGCTTGTAGTTTCTTCAGATTACCGAGCTCCACTGGTATCTCTCCTGTCATTTATTTAGGGAAATATATGAGTTGCCACTTCTGCAGAAGAACATTTTCATTTTTCTTGTAAGAAAATATTGTATTACCTTCCAAATGAAGACCTCTGACATATAACTTTGTAAGAGCTGTTAAGTTGGCTACCTCTCTTGGTACAGTTCCAGTAAACTCATTGTAAGTCAATGACAAAATTTGAAGCTTTCTGCATTTTTCTAAGTTTGGTGGAATAACACCACCGAGGTAGTTTCTTGAGAGGTAAAGCCCTTTCAAATTTGGAAGATGGTCGCATATAGTTGTTGGAAGCTGACCAGTGAAATTGTTATAGGTAAGACCAATGTTTTTTATAGTTGTAATGTTGAAGATTGATGCTGGTATAGAGCCACTAAGTTCATTAAATTGCAGATCTAAAAAGGTCAGGTAGCATAGATCACCGAGTTCCCGAGGGATCTCTCCTTTTAGAAAATTATTTTGCATACTCAACACTTCCAGCTTTGTGATGTTGGAAATGAAAGGAGGAACTTCTCCTGAAAATTGATTCATAGAAAGGTACACAAAGCGTAGATTTGATAACAAACTTAAAGATGATAGAATTGCTCCGGTGAAGTTATTACTTGTGACACTTATAAATTTCAGCCTCTGCAAATGAGCCAACTCTACTGGTAAATCTCCATAGAAAGCATTGTAACTTATGTTGAGGGAAACAAGAAATGAGAGGTTTCCAAGGTGTGGAGAAATGGTACCATGAAGTTGCATGCTAGATATGTTTAAAGCAGTGACTCGGTGGTGGCGGGAGCTGCAAGTGATTCCAATCCAGCTGCAAACCGGGCTGGAAGAAGACCAGTTTCTTGCTAGGATGTTGTTAGGATCAAAAGAAATGTGAGATTTCAAGGAAAGTAGAGCAGCTTTATCAGTGCTAATATTAGCAAGTGAAGAAGTATGGCGATGAAGCGTAATGAAAACTGCAAGAGCAAACAGAAGATTGCAAGTTCTTGCCATAACTATGACAAGAGTACTTTATAATACAAAGCAATGATCTTAGACGATCTATTTAAAGATTAATGTATACCTATATACTGTTTTTATATTGGAATGTCTTTTAGTCAATTTAATTAGTTGGATAAAACAACTAGTTAAACTTTTTTAAAAGTTTGGTTGTTAAATTGTTTTAACATAATTTTCTGTCCTTCACCTTTGAACTTTATCTTATCAAGACTTGTCTTGGCTTTACCAACAATTAACACTTAACTAACAAATAAAGTTGTTTAACCTGTATTCATCTTTAACTAGAGATTTTGTGTTCGAATACTCTTTTAATAGGCAGATGAAACTTTTCAAAATCCTAATTAATCGGAACTTAAATAGATATCATACACCGACTGGGTAACAAACAAAAATCCTTACACAAATGTGGTAGAATATAAATTTAACATGATTGAAACAGGAAGGTAGGTAGAGATAGTTTTTAACACCACATCTTATTCAGATTCTTGCTAGTGTATATATATATATATATATACATGTAATTCTGATAGAGTGAAATAAGGACTTCTGCAATTGTTAAGTTGATTTTGTGAATGAAAATCTTGTTTGCTTACCAAATTGATATGCCTTTGCAACTTCGGAGTTCCTCTTTATTGAGATTAGTTCTACTGGTGAATATAGTTTTGAGAAGGCAGACACACAAATGAAGGTTAAACAGAGTAAAGAAGTGAATGAAGTTGAAGTGAACCAATGGTCAAAGCCTCTGATGAATCTATCAAACACTGCAGACAAAAGGAGGACACATGGCAAGATCACAAGGCAACCAAAGTTAAATGATGGATTTAATTACAGCCGTAGATCACAGAGTAACAGCTGTCAAATGCATGATCAAGTCACATGATGGTTGTTATGGAGGTTCCGTAGCAGACAATCCGCGAGTGTAATACACACATTATATGTTTTTGTTGATATTAAAAAAGGTGTCAAAATGACATAGCGGGATCCTACATAAGGTGTCTAAAATGAACATTGTCCAGTTAAGGTGTATAAGTGAAACATAGTGCCAACTTTAAGGGGTCACCGATGAGTTAGGCCTAAAAAAATTCTGATTTGGTTGAGCATGAAGTTTACAGGTGATTTGAAAAATATGTTTAATGAGAAAAGGAATACTACTGGAGAGATTGAAGTGGTGCAAAATATTCTGTTTTAGAGATTACTGAATGACCAAATTCTGGTCACATCGAGTGTCGATTTGAGCAGCAATTCACTGCTGGAAACAGAGGTTAAATTATAGGTGCAGAGCACGTTGGTTTTGATGATACTCGTGTACTAATACAAGCTTTAGATCTTGAAAATTCTGGGCACTTCGCAGCTGTTAAGTTGCGAACTACAGCTTCAAAATATGGTGTATTGGTTGAGCACCAATAATGCATCTAACGAGCTTGGGGGACACAATTTTTTGTGGTGAATGTTCTGCAACAAACTAGACAGCAACTTTTCATGAACGAGTTCCAAAATAATGCATCTAACGAGTTTCATGAAAGGATACTTGAGTAGACTGCCATTTTTCGACTTTTATATATCATCAAATTTACATATATCAAGAAACAAGCTGCTTCCTACAACAGTGACTACAACACTTAAAACTACTTGTGCAGAATGGAAATCTTAACCCAACTGACATAGGTAATCAAATAACATACAAGAGCACACGGGTCCGATTCCACCTAGTGCAGACTACTGACAAGCTGGAGTCTAATCGTTTTCAGTGTTGAAAGAGCATCTTCCATGCTAATTCTTGCATCTGGGGTCGCTAATGTGCAGCTCAAAGCTAGTTCCATGATTGATAACAAACATTGCATCTTTGCATCGATTTGTTCGTCCCCTGGTTGTATCAAATTAGAATCCACCACCTTATGAATTGCACTTGGGATTGAATCACTAACCCAACGTTGTATGGTCAAGTCTCCGGTAAAAGTTTCATCAGTTGGTCTAATTCTTGTAAACGTCTCCATCATTAGAATTCCAAAACTATAAACATCACAACTCGTGGATACTATTCCATCCTGTCCATACTCTGCAATCATGGTAAAAAATTATCATAAAAGCTTCATAGTTAAAATGGAATATGCCAAAACTATGAATATCGATCTATATCTAGGGGAAAGAGTTGTTTTGAGTATTTAAACAATATGAAAACTCTAAAAAAAAACTACAATATACCTGGAGCAATATAACCAATGGTTGCAATTGTCCAAACGCCTCCTCTGTACCTAACATTTTTGCAATGCCAAAATCACTTACATGAGCAGCCATTTCTTGATCTATCAAGACATTGTTTGGCTTCAGGTCACAATGCACCACTGGTGTTGAATAACCATTGTGGAGATAGTCTATTGCCGACGCAACATCTATCGTTATATCAAGTCTCTGCAGTAAGTTCAAGAACAAGTTATGAGAGTATAACCATTTACCAAGGGTCCCGTTGGGCATGTATTCCAACACTAGGGATTTGAAATCAAGGTTGGACCAGCTGGTGATGACTTTGGTCAAATTTCTGTGGCGAAGGTTCCGAAGTATCTCACATTCTGTGTCAAAACTTTTGAATGCACCCTCCAACTGCACATTGAAGACCTTTGCTGCTAAAAGGGTACCATCCTTAAGTATCCCTTTGTAGACCGTGCTGAAACTTCCATTACCAAGCAAGTTGCTTTCGTTGAATCCTTCTGTTGCTTGTTCAAGTTCATAATAGGAAATTCTTCTGTGCCCTTTTACCAGAGTTACATCTTCTTGACTTGCATTTTTCTTTGTCTTTCTCGATCTTAACACCACATATCCAACAGCCAATGCAAGGAGTGATCCAATCCCTAACATCATATATAAACCTATAAGCACTTTTTTTCTTCTTGACTTCTTTTCCGATTTGGTCAGGCATGGTTTAATGTTAAAACGGGAGTCACCACAGAGTGCATCATTGGACATGAAAGACTGACCTGTGGCATTCACAAAAGGACCACCGGTGGGAATCTCTCCACTGAGTTTATTGAATGAGAAATTCATGTTTTTGAGGTACACAAGAGCTTCTAATGACTTTGGAATTTGACCACTAAGATTGTTATAGGACAAATCCAAGTATTCCAAGGACAACATTTTGCCAAATGATTCAGGAATAGACCCCTCTAATCTATTATGTGCTAGAGAAAGATTAATCAATTTTTCTAGACCACCTAGAGTACTAGGAATCTTACCAGAAAAATAATTCCTTGACAAATCAATGAGTGTTGCAGCCTTTAAGTTTCCGCTCTCCAGTGGAATTTCCCCACTCAATAAATTGGACGAAATATCGAATTCTATGAGATCTTGAAGGCTCCCCAAGCTTGAAGGTAATCTAGAATCCAGGTTATTGTTAGCTAGATGAAGTTTCCTCAAACTAGTAACATTCCCTAAGCATGAGGGCACTGAACCAGAAAAATGATTTTCTGACAAGTCTAATGCACCAAGATTCTTTAAACTGCATATAACATCGGGTATGGTTCCTTCTATCTTATTGCTTAATAAATAAAGTTCTTGAAGGCTCAGCATGCCATGGACAGTGTCTGGAATGTGTCCTATCAACTCATTGTTATATAGACTCATTGATGTCATTCCAGTAAGATTACCGATTTCTTGAGGAATGGCACCCTTAAATTTACAACCATTTCCATCAAAAGAATCTAGAGATTTGGATAAATTGCCAACAGATGGAGGCAAAACACCATCCAACGGATTATCACCAATCCAGAGTACTCTAAGATTCCTACAGTTTGACAATGATGTAAGAAAGCTCATTTTTGAATCACTGAAAAAATTATTAATTTGCAAGCCTAGAATCTCGAGGTATTCTAAGTTACCAAGTGATTCGGGAATAGGACCTGTGAAACTGTTGACTGCGAGATCAATTTCTCTGAGTTTCGAAGAATTTGAGATTGAATCAGAGATAAAACCACTTAGATTAGTTGCTGCACAGTAAAGTCCTTCTAGATTGGGCATTCCACGACCTAAATCTGAAGGTAGAGTACCTGAAAGATTGTTTAGTGAAAGTTCTAGGATCTTCAGTGCTGACATGTTAAAAATGCTTGCAGGGATAGAACCAGTGAACCCGTTCTCGGCTAATATCAGCCTCTGTAGTTTCTCAAGATTACCTAGCTCCATTGGGATCTCTCCTGTCAATTAGGGAAAATGTATGAGTTACTAGTTTCGTGAAAGAGAGAAAAGAATGAAAATTTTCATTTGTGTACCTTCCAAATGCAGAGTTGCAATATATAATCTTGTAAGAGCTGTTAAGTTGGCTAGCTCTCTTGGTACAGTTCCAGTAAACTCATTCAGCGACAATGACAAGACTTGAAGCTTTCTGCAGGGTTGGTGGAATAACGCCACTTAGGTAGTTTTTTGAGATGTAAAGTCCTTCCAAGTGTGGAAGATGATCGCATATAGTTGTTGGAAGCTTACCAGTAAGATTGTTATTGCTAAGACCAATATTCTGCATCGTCGTAATGTTGAAGATTGATGTTGGTATAGAGCCAGTAAGCTGATTATCTTGCAGGTCTAAAAAAGTCAGGTAGCGAAGATCACCGATTTCTCGAGGGATCTCTCCTTCAAGAAAATTATTCCGCAAGCTCAACACTTCCAGCTTTGTTAGATTGGAAAGGGAAAATGGAATTTTCCCTGAAAATTGGTTGTTCCAGAGGTACAGAAAGCATAGGTTCGGTAACAAACTTAAAAATGGTGGAATGGCTCCTGTGAAGTTATTGCTTGCAACATTAATGACTTTCAACCTTTGTAAATGAGCAAACTCTTCCGGTAAACTCCCATGGAAAGTGTTGTCACTGATGTCGAGGGAGACGAGAAATGAGAGGTTTCCAATGTGTGGTGGAATGGTACCATGAAATTGCATGTTAGAAATGTCTAAAGCAGTGACTCGATGGTGACGGGAGCCGCAAGTAATTCCAATCCAGCTGCAAACTGGGACGGAAGAAGACCAGTTGCTAGCTAAGATGTTGTTAGGATCAGAATAAATGAGAGATTTCAATGCAAGAAGAGAAGCTTTATCAGTGTTAATATTAATAACAGTAGCAAGTGATGTATGGTGATGCAGTAGTAGAATCAAAATTGCAAGAGCAAAGAGGAGATTGCAGATTCTGCCCATAACTGTGACTAAAATAAGAATTGATAATGCAAAACAATGATTTTAGAAGATGTATTTAATACACTATTGGAGTATTACTTGGTTAAGAGTACAAGTTGTATTAGTGAGAAAGTCAGTCAACTTGTTGAGTGTCTTTTGAAGTTGAGAATGCTGAATTCTTTGCCATTTCTTTGACTTTAAAAACTTTGATTGCTGAAATTAGTCAGTCAACTTGTGGAGTGTTATTTGGTTTAGAGTACAAGTTGTATTGCTGAAAGTCAGTCAACTTCTGGGGTGGATTAGCATTTACTGAATGTAATGGAAACCATGTGTTAAGATTAATTATGAAAGAATTTGTTGGGAAGTAGGAGAACATATAAGTAGTTTTGATGATTGATAAAGTGAACCTGATTTACTATTTGTTGTCTTATGTGTACTCTATCAGATAAACCGGGTCTCTAGACGTGAATGCGGACAACTTGTACAAATATGGGAGATTGCGGCAAAGAAGACTCGTGATATAGTGTAGAAAATAAAGGAGTGAAAATAGAAATAAAGCTCTAACTAAGAAACCGTACAAAGTGAGCCTGGTTCACAATCCAGTAGCAGAACCAGTGGGGGAACTAAGAATCCTTATTAAATCAAAAGATTCCTAAATAAGGAAAAGAAGTGCAGAAGACTCCTTATAGGAAAAGGAAAGTTCCTAAATAAGGAAAGGGAGTGCAGAAGACTCCTTATAGGAAAAGGAAAGCTTTTTAAAGAGTAAAATACTTTCCTTGTAGGAGTCAACTACGTTAAACAACTTCTATGCCGAAAAAGGAAGAACGCAAACAAGTTCTATAAGGAAAAGGATTAGTTTTTCGGAAAACGTATTCCTTTCCTAGTAGAAGTCGATCAAGGCAAAAATCAACCTTTACAAAAGGACAAAGACAAAGAAGAGAAGATCGGCTTCTGCAATCGCAATTGAGAGAATTTTCCAGCAAAGGCAGAGCGGCACCTATTGCATATTCACGAAAGTCATCATCTTCAGAGCAATAGTCATTGGAGCAAAACTGCAAGGCTTTGTCACAACAACAGTGAAACCAGGTTCATGAGTTGTGTTTGAGTCTGAACTATTGAATGTTGAAGTCTGATCAATTAAAGTCTAGGGTTATTAGTCTTTGTTGATTTGTTCTAGGTTTATTATTGAAAAACGTTCAACATCCATTTTAAAAAAGGAAAATCAGTATACGTTGGAATAATTACAAAGTACTTGTTTCCATCCCTTTTTCAAATTGGTACTTATCTCTTTTTCAAAAAAAAAAAACTTTGGGTCGGGTCAGATCAGGTGGGGTCGATCCACAATCCAAAACTTACATCTCCCACTTCACACATGGTGGACAAGACACAAATCAATATCATATCAACTAAACACATAATTCATACGATAAATAGTTCATGTGACTCGTGAGTACCAAGGCTTGCCTTCAAGGTTTTTACAATCCCTACATAGGAATTCAATCATACGTGGAAAGAATTCACTATTAATTTAAGGACACTATTACTCACAATATCCCAGACTTCATTCACTACTTCAATAGTTACTTATTCAATCCCTCATCCTCTTACAGAGGTTAACTCGTGTTCATATTTAACTTTATATACACAATTACACTCGAGTGTAGTAGTCGGCTTGTGTATATAAGTTAAATTGTTCACTTTAATCATCTTTCCTTTCTACTCGAATTTATCTGTAACATCTGGTAAGTTGAAATAACTATGAAGAGGCTTAAAAAAAATCGGAAATAGTCATTTTTGGAAGGAATTCAAAAAAATGAAAAATCTGGAAAATTGGTGAAGTGTGGAAATCAGTGAGATTTTGGTCAAATTTGAGCAGTCATAACTCCTAGCTCAGGATGCGTTAGGAGTAGTTCCAATTATGTTTGCGAAGCCTGTGGAATGATCTTTCTAAAGCCACTGAGTTTGCTCGATTCCGAGTTCGTATGAACGAGTTATGCCCTTTGAAAGTTGGGAAGTTGGCAGGGAATCCGTCCGGAAATTTTAAGGGCATTTTGGTCTTTTCCCTAGCTATTTCTTTTGGGGTTATATTGTGGTGTTAGGCTGATTTTTGGATCATTTTGGTCGCATTTTAAAGAGTGAGAGCTAGGGCTTGTGAGTGAAGAGGAGAAGAAGAGGAGAAGAAGAGAAGAAAGAGGAGATCAAACAAGTTTCCGTCAAAGATCGTCGTGGATATCGTCGGGGGTGATCCCTACTAGGTATGTGATTTCTTAGTGTTGGGTTGATCCTTTCCCCCACACACCAAACTCAATTTTATTATTGAGAAAAGATTGGATATGTTGTTGAAGTTATTTGGTTGTGTTGTTGATGTTGTTGATTGTGTTGTTGAAGTCCCTTGTTGATTTGGACATGTTTCCGGTTGTGTTTTGGGTTGAAATCTATTGTATGTTGAGGGATTTATGATTCTAAATGTTTGGAGTGGGAAACCTTGGAGTTTATAAGGTTTAGAGTTGGAGAAAAGAAGGAGAAAAGTCGAAGTTGTCGGGGAAAAGGGGTGGCGCGTCGCCCCAAGAAGTGTTCTGAACTTCACCCCTTGGGACGTTGCACCCTACAGAGCGCCTCAGCTGGCCTTCTGAGCTTCAAGGGCTGGCGCTCCGCACCTTGCAGAGCGCCAAGGACGCCAAGTTCCCCCATTCTTTTCACACTTTCTCATGCATGTTCCTTGGTATTGTACCTATGTTTCCTAGTTGTTTCCAACACTCCAAAGTACTTCTAAACGTCAAGGAGTCATCCATAAACGTGTGATCATATACCTTGAATCCAAATTCCAATTCAAGGAGAGTTAGTTTCCAAGTCAAGTGAAATTAAGAGTTAAGTCTAGAAGTTGAAGAAGTGAGTCAAAGCAAGTCTTTAAAGTTGTTCAAGAGTCTTTATTGAACGTTTTAACTTCATTCTAAGGCTCAAGTTGCAAGTCAAGCAAAGAGTATAGAGTTTCAAGTTAGGTCAAGAACATAAAGTTGAGTTCATTTCTCAAAGTTATTGGGGAACTATGTATTCCCAAAGAAGTTTTAAAGAAACATTTTTACATTTAAACAAGGTTGGAACTGAGATTTCCAAAGAGCCTTCGGGCTAGTTTTTGAGTAATTATCTCAAATCAGCAGGAAGACATGTTTTAAAAACATAAGAGCCAGTACTTTTTGGGAGTAGTATCGAGCACCGATTGGGGAAACGTTCAAAGAACCCATAGCCCCCATAGAACCATGTTAGTCACAATGGTTAGAAAATGATCATACTTTTTAGATGAATCCTTTTCCAGATAGACTAGTGGATCCGTTAGGCAGTTTAGCTCTTATACCTTTGGCCGGGTATAGGATGCGCTGGCAGCATGAGGTCGATCGCTGTATCATCACTATAGCTCTTATGTGATGGTTGTCGGTTAGAGAAACTCCCACAGCAATTATTGTATTTTCATACACAGAAAGTATTATATTTTTATATACATCAGTTCATTTGTATTTCTATATACATCTCAGGCTTATTGTATCTTGGTATACACACAGAGTTTATAGCATGTTTTAAGCAGTCTTTATTTATATCGCACTTGTTTTAAAATTTGCCTTATATTGAAAGAAGTCAGTCAGGTTGAGTTGAGTTGAGTCAGGTAAGCTATTCAGTTTCTTCAAGATTTCCTTCTAGCCTATGTTGCTTAGTTTTCCAGCTCTCATACTCGTACATTCAATGTACTGATGCCATTTGGCCTGCATCTTATGACGATGCAGATACAGGTACCCCAGATTAGCATCCTGCACGTCGTTGATCCAGATGAGCACTCCAGAGTCAGTGGTGAGCCTCCTTGCATTCCGGAGGACTCAATTATTTTGTATTCTTAGTTTTGTTTTATGAGGGTGTTGCGGGGTCTGTCCCAACATCCATCTCAGTATTTTAGAGGCTTCATAGACAGTCAATCAATTAGTTTTTGAGTCTCTCATCTATGTATATATGTAAATATCCTATCTTGAGATTCGAGTTGCCCTTGTGGCCAGATTTTTATAAGTTAAGTTGTTGTGTAACCTTGCATTTGCATTGAGTTATTCTGTTGAGTTAGGTTTCCGCTGAGTTAAAAAAGCCAGGCGAAGGGTTCGCTTGGGGCCAAAAATGGTCTCCGAGTGCCGGTCCCGCCCAGGGTATAGGCTCATGGTGTGACAAACTTGGTATCAGATCCTAGAGTTCAAGAGTCCTAGGGAGTCTATGAAGTCGTGTTTGTGGAGTCCTAGTTATCGGTGTGAAGCGCGCCACATCTATAATTGGGAGGCTACAACATTTAGGAAGATTTCTTACTTCTTTCACACTCATCTCGTGCGTTAGAGTTGATCTCTAAAAAGTTTCTTTTAATCCGTACTTGCGCGTGTTTCAGATAATCATGCCTCCACGAAGAGTTGGCAGAGGGCGTCTTCCTAGACGTTATGTTGATGAGCAAGAGTTACCTTATGCCCGGGAGCACAACCACAAGGGGAAGTTTCTAATGCCGAGTTCAGAGAGGCAATTAGAATTCAGAGTCAAGCTGTAACTAATCAGATTGGTCAGCAAAGGGGAGCTCGACAGGAAGGAGCTGACACTTCTAGGATCCGCGAGTTCTTGGGGATGAATCCTCCGAATTTCATGGGTTCGAGCACTACTGAGGATCCAGAGAACTTCATTGAGGAGCTGAAGAAGATTTTTGATATGATGCATGTGACAGATACTGAGCGGGTTGAACTAGCTACGTATCAATTAAAGGAGGTTGCTAGAACATGGTTCGACCAATGGAAAGGGGGCAGAGTTGAGAATGCACCACTTGCGAGTTGGGCCTGTTTTGGGGCATTTCTTTCCTCGAGAATTGAAAGAGGCCAAGGTACGTGAGTTTCTCACACTTAAGCAGGAGTCTTTGAGTGTTCATGAGTACAGTCTGAAGTTCACAAAACTATCCCGCTATGCTCCGGAGATGGTGGCGGACATGAGGAATAGAATGAGTTTGTTTGTTGCTG